CCTTAATAATTAGAATAAGGCTTTCGGGGTTCCTTTAAAGGGTTCCTTAAAGGGTTCTACAAAGGCTATTATAAGGGTTTAATGTAGGGGCCTTAATAATTAGAATAGGGTTTTGGGGACCATTATACTATAGTTAGAATAAGGACCCGCCCCCCCCCTCCCCCCAAAAAAATTATAATTTGAGCTTCGGGATTTGAAGCTAAAGTTCGTGCAAGGCTTTGGATCACTGTTCCGGAGTCTCGAGGCCGATGGAGATGACGGAGCAAAACATTTCGGACCCTAAACCCTAAACCCTAAACCCCACTAAACCACTTCAACCCCTAAACCCCTAAAACTGTAGACTCTAAACCCCCAAAGTCCCAAAACCCCCAAAGCCCTAGACCCCAAGACTCGCCCGGGCTCGCAGAGTCTCGGAACCTCCAAGAGCAGAGGTTCCGGTTCAAGGCTCACGCCTCGCAAATCGGAGTGTCGTCAAGGTGCAGGGTCCGAGTATGTGGACCTGTACATATATATATATATATACATATATATATATATATATACATATGTAAGAGAACCCTTTATGTAATATATATGTGTGTGTGTGTGTGTGTGTGTGCGTGCATGTGTATGTGTATATATATATATAGATGTACGTACAAATGAATATATACATAATAATGGTGATATTCATAAGTACGTACATTATCTATATGTATGTATGTATGTATGTATGTATGTATGTATGTATGTATGTATGTGTGTCTGTATGTGTGTATGTGTGTATGTGTGTATATATATATATATATATACATATATATATATATATATACAGATGCATAATTACGATGATATATACGTATATGTACATCATATACATTACATTAATGTAGATATGTAGATATTCTGTGTATACACACACAACTACACACGGGTGAGTTTACCAAATCAGACATGCCCTCAAGTAACTAGCATCTTTATTAGGAGGCTGGATTCCACCAGGCTCCTTGGCCTAGGAGCATACGAGAGCAGAAGTGAACAGCCTGTCTCTCAATGGGCACACACTGTGCGGTTTATGATTCTGACTTAGGTTTCATGCTTGCCGGATCATGTAGAACTTGGGGAGGTTCTGATACTGCGGACCTACAGAGGACCCCTAAAGGAGAGCATCATCGGAATCTTCTCAAGCATTCAGACTCCTATCCCAAACCCGCTAAATTGGACAAGCTTGGGCTCTTGGTGCCTAAGGGGCTGTGCCTGCAAGAGCTATGGGTTTGGGGTTTGATTTGAGGGTTAAGGGTATGGGACCAAGCTAGCTAAATGTCGGAATACGCTTTCCCACACGTAAACAAGCAAACCCTACACCCCTAACTTCGAACCTTACAAGGGACGGGAGACGGGGTCTGAGTGCAGTTTAGGGAGCTTAAATAGGCTTAAAAATTTGAAATGGAACCCCAACCAGTCTCACCTGACAGCGGCGTTTGTTCACGAACCAGGCGGCTGCGAAGCCTCACAGGTCTTTGGTTGAGAGAGTTAGGGAACCGCAGTTCACGCCTGGAAGGCCTTTGGATTCTGCGCTCGGAAGTCATACGGTCTTGCGCAGGGTGTTTTGTCGGGTTTGAGGCGTTGGAGCTCAGGGATTTACCGGTTTCTATACAGCCGGAGATTTCAGCAGGGCAACCGCGAGGGATCAGTTTTACTGACATTGGGGTTGCTGTGGCCTTGTGACATATGGTTCCCTAAACCGCAAAAACCACTAAACCCAAAACCCCGAACCATGAATGGCTTTGGTTATGCTGGGTTTCGGGGCCGTTTGGGATTCAGGCACAGACCAAAGCCTTGCCTGTCCAGGCTTCGACCTGGATGGCTTCAGCACCAATAGCAGACACAACCTCGAGTCGTAGTAGCAGTCGTAGTGGTCGTCGTCGTCTTGGTCGTAGTAGTACTAGTAGTAGTAGT